CTGCTATAGTACACTGACTTCCCTTTCCCTTTACACTCCACCACGCCCTCCTTCTCTAGTCACCTCAAGTCTACAGTTAAATTTTTAGGATTTATTTTGGTTTAGTTTCATCTGTTCTTTTGTTTCTTTATAGTTTACATATGACTGAAGTCATCCAATATTTATCTTTCTCCTTCTGTCTTATTTTGCTTAGCACAATCTTCCCCAGTTCCATCTAGTTGCTACAAATGGCAAGATTTTATCTTTTTTTTCAAAGATTACTTATTTATGTATATAAGAACTGGGGTACAGGTGTGGGGGGGGTGAGAGGATTCACCCCCCAGAGGTGTGGGGGGTAAGAGGATTCACCAGAAACAGAGTGGCAAACAGAACAGATTGACTGAAATATACTGCTGAGAGGAGCAGTGGGCAAGTCAGGAGAAGTCTGCTGCGCCATGTGGGTAGCTCCCTGGCCGGGGATCAAACTCATGCTTCAGTGGCTGCAGACAGGTTCATAGGTTGCGTCCCAACCCCTTGCGCCACCAGGGAGGCCCCTCTTTTTGTTTTAATAGCTAAGTAGTGTACCTTTGTGTATGTAGGCCACAGTCTTCTCAATCCACTCATCTGTCCTTGGGCAACATAGGAGAACCCTAAGTCCCTTTATTGTTTTGTTTTGTTCTTATTCTTCAGGTAGATACCTAGGAGTGAAAATACAGTGTTGCAGTTCAGTTATTAATATTTTGAGACACCTCCATACTGTTTTCCATAGGGACTTGGCCAGTCTATGTTTCTGTCAACAGTATAAGAGGGTTCCTTTTCCTGAACATCTGACACTTGTTTCTGTTCTTTTTTGATATGGGTCATTCTCTTGGGAGTAAGGTGGTATCTCACTGTGGTTTTGATTTGCATTTTGATTTGCATGATAAGTGATGCTGACCATTTTTTTCATGTGCATACTACCATCTGTATGTTTTCTTTGAAGAAGTGTATTTAGCTCCTCTGCCTATTTTTTAAATTGGGTTATTTCTTTTTGTTGAGTTATATGAGTTCTTTGTATATCTTGGATATTGGCCTTTTTTCAGATGTATGATGTGTAAATATTTTCCCATTCAGTAGGGTGTCTTTTCCTTTTAATGTTAGTTTATTTCCCTATGCAAAAGCTTTTTAGTTTGATATAGTCTCTTTGTTTATTTTTGCTTTTGTTTCCCTTGCGGTTGAAATCAGGTCCCCAAACATATACCCGAAGCCAGTGTCTCAGAGTATTTTGCTTGTGTTTTCTTTTTATACTTTTTATGATTTCAGATCTTACATCCAAGTCTTTGATCCATTTTGAGTTAATTTTTATGTATGGTGTGAGATAGTGGTCTAGTTTCATTCTTCTGCATGTGGCTATCTAGTTTTCCTAACACTTTATTGAAGAAACTTTCTCTGTTGTATATTACTGATTCCTTTGCTGTAAAGTAACTGTTCATTTAAGTGTGGGTTTATTTTTAGACTTTTTCATTTAGTACCATATCGTTTTGATACAGTGTGAAGTTTAAGAGTGTGATACTTCCATTATTAGTTTTATCTCAGAACTGTTTTGGCTATTTGCAGTCTTTTGTGGTTTCATAATGTTTGCCCTATTTATTTGAAAAATGCTATTGAAAGTTTGATAGGAATTTCATTTAAACTGTATATTGTTTTGGATAGGATGGCCATTTTAGCACTGTTAATACTTTCAAACCGTGATCAAGGACTATCATTCCATTTCTTTCTGTGTATTTCACTTAGTAATGTCTTACAGTTTTCATTATACCAGGTATTTTACCTCCTTTGTTAAGTTTATTTCCGGGTATTTAATTTGTTTTGATGCAGTTGTAAATGGGATGGTTTTCTTGATCTATTCTAGTTCATTGTTTGTATATGGAAAACCAAGATTTTTTTTTTATATATTATAGCTGCCACTTCACTGTACTGATTGTTTCTAATAGTTTTAGTGGAGTATATTATGTCCTCTGCAAATAGTGATTTTTTTTAAATGGATTTATTTCTGCTTCTTTCCTGGTTTGGATTCCTTTCATAGCTTTCTCATGCCTAATGGCTCTAGCTAGGACTTCCAACAATATGTTGGAAAATAGCACTGAACACAGACATCCTAGTATTGATCTTAAAGGAAGAGCTTTTTGTGTCTCACCATTTAGTATGATGTTAAATTGTGAGCTTGGCACATATTGCCTTAATTACATTGAGATGTGTTCCTTCTGTCCCCACCCTTTTTGGGGGGGGGTTTTGTGTGTTTTTTTTTTTTAAGTTTTTAACATAAGTGGATGTCAGATTTTGTCAAATGCCTTGTTGGCATCTCTCAATAAGATCTTAGGATTTTTATCTTTCCCTTTGTTGATGTGGTAAATTCTGTTGATTTTGTGTATGCTGAACCATCCTTACGCCCCTGGAATAAATCCCACTTGGTCATGATGTATGCTTTTATAGTATTGTTGGATTGGGTTTGCTAAGATTTTGTTGAGGATTTTCCATCTGTGTTCATTAGGGGTATTGGTCTGTAGTTTTCTATTTTTGTGATATCTTTGTCTGCTTTTCACATCAGAATAATATTGACCTTATAAAATGTGTTTGGGAGCATTCCCTCTTCTTTTTTTGGGGGGGGGTAAGAGTTTGAGAAGGATAGCTATTAGTTTGTCTTTAAAGGTTTGGTGGATCACACTAGTGAAGCCATCTGGTTCTGGGCTTTTTTGTGTTTTGGAAAACTTGATTACTGTTTAAGTTTTCTTGCTTGTCATTGACCTGTTCAGGTTTTCTCTTTGTTCCAGATTCAGTTGAAAGATTATTCCTTCTAAAATTCTGTTTCTCTTAGGTTAGCTTCTTAACCCGTTTTGGCATAAAGATGTGCATGGTAGTATCTTATAAGCGTGTGTATTCTGAGATGTCTGTGTAACTTTTTTCATTCTGATTCTATCTAGTAGAGTTTTCTCCTTTTTTTTGAGCCTGACTGGATATTTGTCTCTTTCATCTTTTCAACAAACCAGCAATTAGAAACTATACAAGTCTTGAAAGCTTCAGAGGGTATCTTTTAACCATTCAGTTGAATGCTGGCCAGTATATGAATATAAAGAAACTACCGAAGACCAGAAAAAGAACCTTTAAAGGGATAGTGGTAAAAAATATTTGGTGTTTACATGGAATCAGGCATGGTACCTCCCTTCTACTGCCAGATTGGAAAACATCTTGAGTATGGGACATTGAATAGAGTACACACAAGGTTCTTCCTCAGTAGTGGGGAATAATTAGGTCTAGTAAGAATACTGATTGAAACACCATTTTAGTCACACCCACCATAATCTTAAAGACAAGACCTGAAAGGTTCAGACTTTTCACAAGCAATTTATGTCGGGAAAAAATGTTTAGGAATACAGAAATAAATAAATATCCAAAACCCAGCAAAGCACAATTCAAAATGTCTGACATCTGATCAAAAACCACCAGGCTTGCAGTAAGTATGAAAATACAGTGTGTAATGAGGAAAACAAAACTAACCCAGAGTTGACACAGATGTTACAGTTAACACAGACATTCAGACAAAGACATTACAGTGATTGTTAGTAATTGTTCTGTATGTTAAGTAGTTACAGAAGATATGAAAAGGACCCAAATTGAATGTCTAAACATGAAAAATACAATGTGTGAGGTGACAAATACACTAGTTAGAATTAATGGCAGAGTAGACATTGCAGAAGAAAAATTGGTAAACTTAAAACAAAGCAGTAGAAAATATCTTTAACAAATATAGAGGAAAAAATGAATTGAGTGTCAGTAAACTGTGAGACTTCAAGTATCCTTATTGGAGTGCTCAGTAATACAAGGAATGAACTAGTGAAATAGCAGTCTAAAGCATCATGCCAGATGAAGAAGTCAGACACAGCAAGTTATTATATGCTGTATAGTTTCATTTATAAGACATTCAAGAAATGGCAAAACAAGGAGGGCTAGCAGAAACCAGATCAGGGATAGGCTGGAGTTCAGGTATAGAAGGGGAATAAATGTTATGGGGCATAAAGGAGTTTTGGGGGAGGGCTAGAAATATTTTATGACCTGATTGCCATAGTGATGACAAGACTCTTCACATTTGTCAAAATTCATTGAATTGTGCCACCTGTGAAGGCTCTGAGTTTTAACCCTAATTGCAAGCATAGAGATTAGGCTGGCAATTTCATGGAAACTTACGTGTGGAACCAATTAATTTTCAGATCATTCAGGTAGCAAGTACCAGAGTATAGTCGGATACCCTCAGCTGTGCTCTGGATTTTCATGACTTATGCTAAAATTTAACCTAATACTGAGCTAACCTTAAAATGAATTTTTGGTGGCGCAGCGGATTGAGCACCGCAATATGAAGCTGTCCGCAGCCTCTGCAGCACGGGTTTGATCCCGGCCGGCCAGGGAGAAATCCACAAGGCGCAGCAGACCTTTCCTGCTTCGCCCGCTGCTCCCCTCAGCAGTGTATTTTGGTCCGTCTGCCTGTTCTGCTCCCTACTTTGTCTCTGGTAAATCCTTTCACCCTCCCGCACATCTGGTCTGTACCCCGGTTCCTGTATAAATAAATAAATCTTTAAAAAAAAGTGAATTTTTTCTCTGTATGCATAGAATAGTTTGGTAGTTAAGGAGCCAGTAACCTTAACCTAATACTAGTGGAAGAGAAAAGGTATACTGTTAGAGAACCTGCTTTTGTCAGGTTCAACAAAATGACCCTTTCACATTTTCCATTGCCGTGTTCATCACGGGAGTTTGTATTAGACCTGGAGAAGCCATAAATGTTTACAAGTATGTACTGAAACAATGCTGGGATATTTGAATATACTTACACAGGTGTTTTGGGGATTACTTTGTTGAGGCTCAGAAGATATCTAAAATAGGATTCTTTCTGAAAACTTGAAAGTTTGCAACTAGGCATGGACTTTAGAAGTATACATATAATAAATTTTGTTATAGCCCGCTTTCTGAATAATTCTCTCTTCTTTCTACAGTGAAACCCAATGGAAAAGCATGACATTTGGAGACAGAAGACTTAGTTTCATATCCCAGCTCCTTTACTTACTAATTTTGTGATTTGGGTAAGTAATTTACCCTGTCTGAATTTTTGCTTCTTTTGTAAAGTTCCAGTAAGTAATCCTGCCATTCCAAACCCATTCACCAGGGATGAATGCTGAGGTAAACTATAGACTTTGGGTGATTATGGTTTGTTAATGTAAATTGCATCCTTGGTAAAAATTCTAGTGAGTGATAGTGGTAATGGAGGAGGCTCTGCATGTGTGAGAGCAGAACATATGTAAGAAATCTCTGTACCTTTCTTTCAATTTTGTTGTAAATCTTTAAAAATAAATTTATAACCCCTGCCTTATCGATATGCTTCTAGATTGTAGAAGAATCAAAGAATTTATATGAAAGCACTTTATGTAACATAAAATTGTATACAATTGTTAGTTATGAATTTATGATCAGTACTAGTGGAATAGAGCAGAGTTGTATAATTTTTTAAAAGTTAACATAGATGTGGTCAGACTTTTGTAAATTTATTCAAAGTAACACTGTATTGTGTATGACATGGTGTAAAAGATATACGATATGGAAATTTTGCCCATCTTTATCCCTGTTCAACTTATTCATTCAACAAGCATTGTTTTGCCTTCTTGATAATTGTAATATACATCTACTGTTTTACAATTACAAGAGGAATATATTATTAGTAATAAACTTTATACTGATATTCTTCCTAACATGCAATGTAAATCTGAATGTTTTAATCATGCTTTTTCATTCTATACTTGGATCAAATTAGAAAGAAAGTGGAAAGAAACTAAAATTTCACAATTTACAGGTGATAAAAATCATTTATAAAGGGTAAAACTATTTAATATTTATTAATTGTAACTCCACTGCTTTTTCTCCCATTTGAAAATCCATGTGAATGAAACTGAATGAGAATGAATAACTATATAGGAATAATATTGAATTTTTTCTCATTTTTTAAAAGAAAATCATTAAGTTTGTTACCATAATATTAATAGTATTTAGTTTTTTGTGATGCATCTTTAGATAGAGCACCTTTCAACACGTTACTGTGTTGAATTGTAATACACGGAGTGCTACTGTAGAACCACTCAGTTCTTGGGATAAATCATTCCTGTATTTGTGGTTAATAATTACGTTTTAACTTCATAGATGCTTTCCAGGCAATATGCAGATTTCAGGGGAAGTCAGTGTATGTAATGTGCAATTCTAATTCATGCATAGTAAATTCTGCAAGAGATGAGGATAATGCTAATAAGAGACTTTCAAGTTGATTATTTACTGTTAGCAAAATGAAAGGAGGGGTAAGATAACCAGACTACTATCAATTCTATAAATTTTTAAAGCAAAATAAACCCCAAAATGAAGTTGACTGTATTTTATATAATATTTCATATGGTTCTACTGTATCTCCATTACTTAGATTTGGACTGTGAAGTCAAGTTCCTAGTAGATGCTCGCTCATCACATATCACTAACAATTCTTTAAAAATTAGGAAACATTACTTTCTGACTGTTAAAATGTGAAATTTACCTTTGTCTTATTTCCTTTTGTGTTTCATGGCACTGTTCAGCTTTCTTTGAAGTAATTATAAATACTTTCATGGAACCTTTTGTTTCAGAGTTTTGTTATAAGAATATGTACATGGATAGAAAGATTGCCAGTTGGGCCTCCCCGGTGGCGCAGTGGTTGAGCGCTGGGTTGCGAAGCTGCCCACAGCGTCTGCAGCGCTTGTTCGATCCCTGGCTGCTGGGCGAGGGTCCCGCATGGTGTGCAGACCTCTCCTGCCACGCCCACTGCTCCCCTCAGCAGTGTACCTCGGTCCTTCTGACTGTTCTGCGCCCCACTCCGGCTCTGGTGAATTCTCTCACCCTCCCTTACTTCTGACTGTACCCAGTGCTTATATAAATAAATAAATAAATCTTTAAAAAAAAAAAAAAGAAGAAGAAAAGAAAGATTGCCAGTTTTGGGGCCTCCCAGTGTTGCAGCAGGTTGAGAGCACCGCCGTGAAGCTGTCCACAGTCTCTGCAGCATGGGTTCGATTTCCGGCCAGCCAAGGAGATACCCACATGGTGTGGCAGACCTCTCTTGTCTCACCCACTGCTCCCCTCAGCAGTGCTTTCCGTCCGTCTGCCTGCTCTGCTCCCTGCTCTGTCTCTGGTGAATCCTCTCACCCTCCCACACCCTTGGCCTGTACCCCAGCTCTTATATAAGTAAATCTTTAAAAAAAAAAAAAAAAAAGAAAGAAAGATTGTCAGTTTTCAGTAACAACAGAGAAATTTTTCTGTAGCATGAGCAAGTAGGTACTTGGTAGGGTAGATGGTCAAAATGGTATGATCGTATTATTTTACCAGCATACTCAAATAATTGTTTTGAATTGGTGGATTTTTCTAATATAGGACTACTTAAAGGAGTAAAACAGGTGAGGAAAAATGGTTATTGCAACTTAGTTTTTTATACTTTTACTTGGAAGTGCTATTTGTAGCAGACATTGATGACTTAAAGGTTATTACACAGGGCTAGAATGCTGACCATACAGGCCTTGAGGGTCTGCAGTCCCAATGAAGTCACCATGTTGCATCCATAATTTCTGGGTAAGGTATTCCTACTGATGACAAGCAGGCAAACTGGGCTGAAGAGAAAGGTCATGATGACTGCACAGAAAGGACTTAATTCAGATAATATGCTCCCTCAAAAGTCAGTGTGAGGAACCAAGGAAGACACTAATTTATTTAATCCATCACCAACAAGTGATTAGTGGGCTGTATCTGTGAAAATCATAGGACAACAGTGCAGGCATCTGGTTCTGGCTGCACAGAAGTATCAATATGTAATTGCCTAATTGGCATTCATTCCCAGTTGGCCCACTGAGCCTCTCTGCACTATGATTCAAAATGTAAAGTTTCTTTCCCAAAAAACCAATTCATTGTCAAATAATTTTGTTACAGTGTAACCATTAACATGGTTATGGAGTACATAAAGTTAAGCTAGTATTTACACTTAATAAAAGAAGGGTTGTTGTTCCAAGTGTACTGCTATGAAACCCTCATCTAGAAGGTAACAGTTTTACATGGGAGAGAAAGTTTATACCTTTAGTATTTTTTAATTTAAGTTGTATTAATTTTTGACGAAATACTAAAGTTATGTGGTACAACATTGGAAAGCTGCAGAGTATATAGTAGAAAGTGTCCCTGTAAAGATAGTTTACATATATGTAAGAAAATGAGGTTTTATATTTTTTGCTGTTTTTTCTCACAAATAATAACAAACTGTTCTGTATCTTAACAAGAGTATTTTAGATGGCATTACATATGTGTATATTTAGAACTTCCTCTTTTTTATGGCCACATGTATAATATATATGTGCCATAGTCTAGTCCCCCACATGTGAACACTTAGGTTGCTTCAAGTATACAGTGTGTTTGGAAGGTTATACCAGTTTACACTGTCACCTGCAGAGTATGAGAATGCCTTTAGGTGTTAATTTCACAACACTGTGTTGATGAGAATAATGTTGGGATGGTTTTTTTGTTTTATGTGCATACTATTTTTACTACCTACAACTTACACAAAGGCATCAAATCATAAATATACACATCTCAGTGAAGATCATCCATCCAGATTAACGTACAGAATATGTTTAGCATCTCAGAATATTCCCATCTATCTACTTTCCCCTACCAAAAGATAACTACTATTCTGATCTCTCTCAGCACACAGTTTACCTGTTTTTGAACTTCATGTAAGGGAAACATGTAGAGTATACTTCTCTTGTGTTTGATTTTTTCTATATTTTATATGAGATTCAGCTAATGGTTATTGTGAATAATGTAATTTACTTTTTATTCCTGTGATTCTGTATATATTTGGCAACTTGAATATATCATACTTATTCTACTGCCTATGTATTTTTGATTGATTCTACTCTTCAACTTTAATGAGTAAAAATGTCAGAACTTCCTTATTATATCTGTCTTTTGGAGGGTTAAGACTCGTTTCTTTTATCTATATACCTTTTCTGGGTAATTTTTGTTTTTCATTGAAGTCTAATTTATGAACAATGAAATTCATCAATTTTTAATGTACAGTTTGTTAGGATACAATTCCTTACAGGTATTGCACATTTCTATAGGTATTACTAGCAACCTGCCTACCTTTTTTTCTAGACTATCATTTCTAAGTTGAAAGGTAGAAATGGTGTTTCTGTGTAGATCAAAGGACAGGTTTGTGTACAACTTTGAAAAAGTTTTCTCTTCCTAGACCAGAGGGCAAGCATGCTTACTACCATTTAATAAAATGTACATTTCCTAAGTTTAGTCTTTTTCTACTGTAACACAGCCCACTGCATGTGCAAGTGTTACCTGAATCTTCCCAATGATCGCATTGTGGGAATTGGGGCTAGGCAACTGCAAAAGAAAATGTTGATACTCTGACTACTGCTATTGTCTGAGTAATAAATTTCTTTGTTTCTGACTTTAGAGTGTCATGTCTTCTGTTAGTTTCCATGAAATTGCCAGGCTAACGTCTTTGCTTGAAAATAGGGTTGACATATGTGTAGAGTCTTGTCATCACAGTGGCAATCAGGTCTTAAAATATTTCTGTCCTTCCCCAAAATTCTAACATTCCCCTTCCATACCGCAACCCCAGCCAATCCCTGTTTTGCCATTTCTTGAATGTCTTATAAATAGAGCTATAAAGTCTGACTTCATTTGGCGTGATGCTTTTGATTGCTATTTCACTAGTTCATTCCTTATATTACTGAATAGTGTTTCATTGTATGGATAAACCATTGTTTGGATATTTTGTTTATCCATTCATCATTTGATGGACATTTGGGTTGTTTCCATTTTAGGACTATTGTGAATAAAACTATGTGAAAGTTATGAATGTTCAAGTCTCCTTATGGACATCTATTTTTTATATTTCTTAGATATATGCTTAGGAGTGGAAATGTTGAGTTCTGATATGCCATTAACTTACTAATGAACTGACAAATTGTTTTCCAGATTACCTATATTATCTTACATTCCTATCTGGGTAAATTTAATTTGTAATTCTCATTATGAATGATTTGAAAGTATTATCTCATGTTTGCGCTTCTTATAATTCCTTTTCTATAAATTGACTATTCAACTCATCTCTCATGTTTTTCTACTAGGTGTTAGTGGTTTTTTTTAGTGATTTGTAGGCATTTTTCACTTATCAGGAGATATTTTTGATCATACTATGAATTACAGATCTTTTTTCCCATTTTGTCAAGTATTTTTTTGAACTTGTGTTATGGTGAGTTTTGCCAGTATTTGCTTAGAGTGCAAGACTTCACATAATAGGGAGGGTTGTTCTCTTAATTAAAGTACAAGTTATGTTTCCCAGCAATAGTCTATGTAAACTTGTTTTCTGCATTTTCATGAAAATCTACACACAAGTAAAAGAACTTTAGAAATTGTTTACGCTTGCATGTAGTAGAAAAAATTGAAATAACACTACATATCTTTTACAGAAATATCTGTGCAAGATGTTGACGTTACGGACTTGGATAATACAAGCCTTGTTTCTTTTTCTCATCTCTGAATGTATAGGTAAGGTTCATGAAATACCCTTCCTCCCACCCCTATAGATTAGGTGTTTTTTTAAATATATAATTAAGCTTTGCTTATTATATAATTATGCTTATATAGTTAGTTTTTCTTTGATCATTATTGAAAGTGAATAATTTACATAATTTGAGTTGAAACACTCAATAATTCTAAATGCTGTTTAGTTATACCAACAATAACTTCAAGATAGGAAAGGAAAAAGGTTTTATTTTTAGAGAAAAATCTGTTTATTTTTTTTGCATAGAACAGCTGGGATGTAGACCAGACATGCAGGGGAGGGCGTGTGTGAGAGAGAATTCAGCAGAGGCAGCGTGGGGAGCAGAACAGGCAGATTTACTGAAATATACTGCTAAGGGTAACAGTGGGTGAGACAGGAGAGGTCTGCTAGGCCATATGTGGATTAGCTCCCTGGCCTGATCGAACTCAGACTATAGTGGTGATAGGGCTGAAATTTAACCTGTAGGCCACTAGGAAGGCCCACCTCTTAGTACTTTACTTCTTTGTGGCCAAAGTTATCTACTGATTTGTGATTGTGATACCAAAATAAATAAAGAGTACTGTTCACATCGGTAAACAACCTTTTGCCTGTCTTAAGAACTGGTTGTAACTGGCTCACAATGAGGTAAGTGTAGACGTCAAGAACAAATACTCAGAAACTTTTAGCAATGTAACATAGCCATGACATCTAAGCATATAATCAGTAAACTTGTCTCATAAAAACACAGTATAGAATAAAAATTAAGTCTGACATATTGGGAGGAAGGAAAATTGATTCAACTCTCTCAAAACCTACGAATGCAACTTCGTAGAAAACTTTTGTTAAAAACTTCTTTAGAAAGTCTTTCCTCAAATTTGAACCCAAATTTTTCTGCTTGTAACTTTCCCGATAATCCTCCTTCTGGAGTAGGTCTACTTTGTCTCTCCACTGCTCAGTTCTACAAGTATTGAAGGACAGCTTTCATGTGTCTCCTGTAGTTCTCTCTTCCCCAGCCTATACTTACTCATTGTTCTAATCATTCTTTATAGGACTTGATTTCCAGCTCCGTGTGTGCTGATTACCCTTTCGGCTCTTCTCTTAGTGCACATATCACATTAAATATACCATCCTACCTCTCTTGCTTAACAGCTATAGGGCTTTGGCTTGTCATTTAATCTGGCTCAGATTCCTAATCTATAAATTGAGGATAATAGTCTGTACCTTCTCAGGTTATTGTGAGGATTAAATGAGCCAATATACAGAAAGCATTTTGACGATTCCTGGCTCAGAGTAAGCATTAGAAAAAGGATAGTAAGTATATATTTATTAAGATTTGAGTAAAATGCATGTAAGGAAAAAAATACAATGTACCAGAAATAGACATGGTCTGAGTATAATGATTTTAATGATTTTATCTGAATGTCATTTTTTATTAAAGAACAAAGCTTTTTTGCTAGCTAAAAAACACCATAGTTTCATTTAAGCTAAGGGTCAGAGAAAATTCGTAGATTTTTTTTTTTAATACAATCTGATTCTTTATTAACATGGGGTTTTATATTACACATTGATTGTTAAAACTATTTCCTTTGTTGCCTAATTTTGATATATGAATTATATATACTATCTCTCTTTGCTCCAGACCATACTCCAACAGCATTCATGGCTAGAGAGGAGCAGAGACTACCACTGAAGGGTATAAGTTGTACCCTGAATCTCAGTCAAGGAGCAGGATTGGTGGTGGAGCAAATGAGAATCATGCTGCCAGCAGTCGATATTTCCTAAAGTGAAGTTAGAATTCTATTAAAAAAGCTGAAGTTTTCATGTTTCTTTTTTTAAATCTAACTCCATGTGCCTTATGATGTGTAATTTCTTTACAAACTCATGTATTAAATTCTGACCATGTTAATTTTCACTGTTTATTTTTCTTATTTTTAAAGATATTTTATTGAAGATTGGGGAACTGCACTGATATAAAATACCATTTTACACCAGAAAAATTCACTCTACTTTTGTATCTTCTATTATTGTTCCTTTCAGGTGAACTTTTAAATCCATGTGGTCATATCAGCCCTGAGTCTCCAGTTGTGCAACTTGGTTCAAATTTCACCGCAGTGTGTGTGCTAAAGGAAAAATGTATGGATTATTATCATGTAAATGCCAGTTACATTTTCTGGAAAACAAACCACGTTACTGTTCCTAGTGAACAATATACCATCATAAACAGAACAGCATCTAGTGTTACATTTACAGATATATCTTCATTAACTACCCAGCTCACTTGCAACATTCGTACATTTGGACAGATTGATCAGAATGTTTATGGAATCAGAATAATTTCAGGCTGTAAGTTTTGTTTTGTATTTTATATTACTGAAAACTTTGTCGTGAATATCAAATCATTTTTAATGTCTATTGGCTCTTATGAAATGCTATAACTTTTCAGCTATGATTTTTTTTAATTGGACATTTATTTTTTTAATTAAGCTTAGAAATGGAACTACATTTGCATTAGTAATGTATTGAAAGCCTAAAGAGTAACCTAAGTTTAGTAACTTCTTTGAAAATCAAGTATTTGTCAGCTTTCTAGAACAGCATTTTAACATGAGACCTAAAAAAAGAGTGTCATTGTTATGTATTATTTTGGTCTACTTTATGTTGTAAATGTCTTAGTATATAGTCTTGGTAATGTCTAGTGTATAAATGACATGCTATCTATGTGTATAAAGGTTTTTGAGAATTGCTGCTGTTTCCTTTTCAGTCCCTCCAGAGAAACCTAAAAATTTGACTTGCATTGTGAACGAAGGAAAGAAAATGATGTGTCAGTGGGATCCTGGAAAGGAAACACACCTGGATACAAACTTCACTTTAAAATCCGAATGGTAAGTTATTGTAGTTGTTTGTTGAATTTAAGTTTAGTCACTTGTGCTGGAGTTTTCCTCAAAACATACACAATTTTTAAAACCATTTAATTTAATCTTTTATTCTAGAACATCTGAAATGTGAGAATAGTATAATCCCCATGTATCCATCATCCATCTGCAGCAGTGATCCGCTCACGACCAGTCTTATTGAAATATACCCCACCCAGACTGTCTTGAATAAAATCATTGTTATCATTTTTTCTCATTCTTAAATATTTTGTACATATCTCATTTTAAGCACACTTTTTAGATAACATAGCTGCATAACATTATTATTTCCAAATATAACTGAAAATACTTGAGTGTTCAAATTTCCCCAGATATGTCACAAATGTATTTTTACATTTTTTTCAAATCAAAACCTAAATTTCATGTATTGCAAATTATGTCTTTAAGTCCCTCTAATCATACGAAAGTTTCTATCTGCTTCTCCTTTTTGTATACAATGAAGTTATTAAAATATTAGATATACATTGCTTAATGTATTCCTTTGGCCCTTTATTCCAAAAAAATGCTATTAGATGCAGACTTACTTAGATTTGGGTTTGATTTTTTTTTTTTAAGATTTTTTATGCATACAAGATCTGGGGTACAGGCCAGAGATGCAGGGGAGTGAGAGGACCCAACAGACAAAACAGGGAACAGAACACAGGCAGACTGACTGAAATACACTGCTGAGGGGAACAGTGGGCAAGACAGGAAAGATCTGCCTCGCCATGTTGGTTTCCTTCTGGCCGGCTGGGGGATCGAATTCATGCTGCAGAGGCTATCGATTGCTTCATAGTGCGGTGCTTAAACCGTTGCGCCACCAGGGAGGCCCGGTTTGATTTCCCCCCCACCCCTCAAAATTTTAGGAGTAGTGTGTACTTCCACAAGGAACCACCACTGTGGAATCCCCCAACCCCACATAATGTTAACTTTACTTTTTATGATATACTAAGACTGAGTTGTGGTTTCAAGTGTTGTCAGCCATAACCTTTCATTTTAATAGTCCATTAGTTTTTTCAAACATCAAGTTGAAAGAATTTTACATTGAACTTTTAAACATCCCCATCACCTAGATTCTGCAATTAATATTTTACTATATTTGCTTTATCACTTATCTATACATCTTTCTCTCCCTCTATCAATTCATCATTTTAAAACATTTCAAAATGAGTTGCATACATTAATATACTTCACCCTTAAACATTTTTATTTTTAGGTAAAATGTATGTACATCTTAAAGTAAACTTGGCATGTCTTAAGTGTATCAGTCACTGAGTTTTGGCTTCTGCATTTACCTCTGTGACTCGTAACCCCTGTCCAGATATCAAACATTACTAACATTCCCAGAAAGTTTCCAGATGTCCTTTCCTCGTCAGTCTCAGTCACCACCCATACTGTGAGCAACTGCTTTATCTGATTTTCTCTGTACAGACTTTTTGTCTGTTCCATATTATATCAGTGGAATGATACTGACTCAGTGGAATATTTTGGGTATTTAATCATGTTCCTTTCCATTTTTATATTTGGTGGGGGGTGTTGATTAGGGGTTATAAATTACTTTTTTTTTTTGAAGGAATAGTATAAATTAAAAGCCATAAGTAGATGTTTTAGTAAAGATAACTCCAACATACATGCATTGAACTGGTGACCAGAGATTCACCCTATGGCAAGTTAGCCTCAGACTTAACTCTCCTTGTATTGTCTCCCAGGCCTTGCTTGTCAAAGAGGTACTCAGTCATGCCAGATTCAGGGACTCCCATCTTGTGCAGGTTGGTTATATGGTAACCCAATTCTTTGATGAAAAATATATCTCAGTGAAGTCACACAAAATGGGGGATGTTTTTGTTAGTATGCATTTTGTGCCACTCCAGTAGTGACTGATGCATACTCTTTTCTAAGTATAATTGCACATTCCCATTACTTTCAAAAACATTTTCCCAGTTGTCAGAATCTGGTTTCTCCATATCCTGAAGGAATATTTGGCCACCTCTTGGGTTCTGCATTTCATCAATTTCTCAGTATGTCCTTCTCCACCTAAAATTAAAGAAGAAAATATTTGGCAAAGCCACATCATCTTAGTCAAAGAAGTAAGACATGTACAGGTAGATGTAGGAGGCAGATAGTTCCAAGTTTATCAAGAAGTTGATGGCAGCCCAGAATCCTGGTGATAATTCTGGAACTTTCTAGGGATCACAGTCTTCATTGCAGACAGCTGAGGAGAGGTGGCCACTGCATTATCCCCTGTCAGTAATAAGAAGTCCTAGGAGATCCAAGGTTGCTGTGAGGCAGAGGGCTGACTCTTAAGTTACTGGCCTAGGTCAGGCATGAGTCTCTCCAAACACCATTGAAGGAAACCATGGTGACTTTCAGCAAAGACTGCCCCATTATTTTTTCACTTAAAGTTTTAAGCTGTCATGAAATACAAAATGGTGGTATTTTATCTTTTTTCCCATGAAATACTTAAACTTTTCTTTATCAGCTATCATTACTCTGAGACACATATAAGAAAAAGTAGTGTCATAATTTCCCTTTATTAACACCAGTTTTGAGTTGTTTCACTAACGTTTTTCCAAAGTAGGTAATGAAGATTTTTATCCCCTCATTGTGTATTTATATTTAAGCATGTGTTATGTCTTAATCTATTATCATTATTATTCTTGATACTTAAATTGTCCCATCTTTAGTTAGTGGGAATGTATTCCTTTTATCATCCTTTTGACACAACTTCATTAGTCTTACTAACTTCCTTGATTCTGATATGACATGATTTTCCAGATTCATCTTAACATATAGTTTCTGTCCTAGAATCAACCATTTCCCGAGTAGCTATCCATTTGACGTGAAATACTATTTAGAGACTGGATATTAGGGAAACACATTGCCAGTGGAATCGTTGTCTCTGGTCTTTTTTTTTTTTTTTAAGATTTGTTTATTTGTACAAGAACTGGGGTACAGCCAGAGTTGCAGGAGGATGAGAGAATTCATCAGAGACAGAATGGGGAGCAGAACAGGCAGATCCACTGAAGTACACTGCTGAGGGGGGCAGCGGGCGAGACAGGAGAGGTCTGCCGCACCATGTGGGTATCTCCCTGGCTGGCCAGAAATCAAACCTGCACTGCAGAGGCTATGGACAGCTTCATGGCGTTGAGTTCAACCCGCTGCGCCAACGGGGAGGCCCCTATTTCTGGTCTTTTTCAGTGGAAAGAGCTAGGGAAAAGTTTTTTTAAGATAAAATACATCATGAATTCATATCGATATTTCCAATTTAAAATCAGAACTATAGATTTTTTATTTCATCCCTCTAACATCAACAGCTTTTGTATCTGAAAATCTTGGTTCCAGCACCACCAACATAATTATTCATTTGCTTTATTCCATGATAAATATAACTACAGAAAATGCTAGTATGAGTATGAACAATATGATTACTAAAAACAGTTTTGAGTTTTTTTCCTTTCACCAAGGATGTAATTAAATTACTGGAAGTAGTTCCTTTCTATGTATTATATCACAACCTATTGCAAGAGTTTATATGTTTCTGATTGCTTCTGATATTTAGGAGGTTTCTTAATGTAAAGTAACAAAATGCAAAAAGTCAAATCTGTACAAGTTTTATTCATAGTAGTAGTCTTAGTTTCCTATCTCCTGTATCCCTCCTCCTAGAGATTACCTCACTTTTTTTTTTTTTTTTAAGATTTATTTATTTATACAAGCACTGGGTATAATCAGAAGCGTGGGAGGGTGAGAGAATTCGCCAGAGCCAGAGCAGGGAGCAGAACAGGCAGAAGGACCAAAGTACACTGCGGAGGGGAGCAGCTGGTGGCAGGGGAGGTCTGCGCACCATGTGGGACCCTTGCCTGGTGGCCGGGGATCGAACCAGTGCTGCGGAGGCTGCAGGCAGCTTCGCAACCCAGCACTGAACCGCTGCGCCACCAGGGAGGCCCTACCTCACTTGTTTTATCTATTTTTAAATTAGTGTGTATATAAATATTACATATTGATATGTAAATATCAATGCATAATTTAAACATGTGAATAAATACAGTAATACCACTTGAAACTTCCTATGGTAATAAAAATCAGAAAGTGATTGCCTAAGTTTGGCTGAAAAGAAGCTTAGGGAATTTTCCCAGCTGATAGAAATTCTTATCTCTGTTCTCCTATCATCTCCTACCATATCATGCTTGTTAGTAAAAATATATTGTTCTTACAGAAAGCCACTGTTAGTACAGCAAGGATTTAGTAAAGGAAAGAAACCGTATTTTTTTTTAAAGATTCATTTATTTGCATACAAAAACTGGGGTACAGGCCAGAGATGCAGGGTGGGGGGCAGTTAGAAGAGTCACCAGAGACAGAGTGGGGAACAGAACAGCCAGACTGACTGAAACACAGTGCTGAGGAGAGCAGCAGGCGAGACAGGAGAGGTCTGCTGCGCCATGTGGGTAGCTCCCTGGCCGGCCTGTGATCTATCTGTGGTGCTTCAGAGTCCACAGATAGCTTCACAGTGCTGTGCTTAACCCCTTGCACCACCAGGGAGGCCCAGGAAAGAAACAGTATTAAAATCATAAGGTAATAGATAAGTTTGGGAGAAGAGTCAGTAAGGTAGATTGTAAAACTGAATGTAGTATTAACAGTAAAATTTTGAAAATAATTCTGCATTTTAAGACACTCAGGTAGGGCCTTGCTGGCGGCGCAGCAGGTTGAGCGCCACCCTGTGAAGCTGTCTGCAGCCTCTGCAGTGCGGGTTCAATCCCAGCCGGCCTGCGAGAATCCCACACGGCGTGGTAGACCTCTCCTGTCTCGCCCCTGCTCCCCTCAGCAGTGTATTTCTGTCGTCTGCCTGTTCTGCAACCTGCTCTGCCTCTGGTGAATCCTCTCACTCTCCCACACCTCTGGCCTGTACCCCAACTTCTGTATAAAAAATAAATAAATCTTAAAAAAAAAAATAAAGACAATCAGGTAAAGGCAGATTAGCTTTTAAGGAATTATATGTTTCTAGTGACCAATAATTTTATTCCAAACTTACTAGAATTAGCTTATTTAATTCCAAGTTACACCAATCTGGTATGACCTTTTTTTTTTCATTCTAATTTCTTTCAAATCTTTTAAGTGACTGATTCTTTCATTTTTATATTTAGGGCAACAGAGAAGTTTGCGGATTGTAAAACAAAGCGAAGCACCCCCACTTCATGCACTGTTGATTATTCTCCTGTGTATTTTGTCAACATTGAAGTCTGGGTAGAAGCAGAGAATGCCCTTGGGAAGGCTACCTCAGATCACATCAATTTTGATCCTGTAGATAAAGGTAATTGTAAACCTGAATTTGAGCATTTATGGGGATACACAGTGTTTTATAAATTATTTTTTAGATTTTAATTAATGTTGAAATAAGCATTTTATTAATGATTTTACAAATTCATCAACATCAAAGCAATTTGGAAAAAGAAAAATATTCTTCCACACATTTTAAATGCTATTTTCTGGTATTTGTTCAATTTTAAGTTTTACAGCTTTGTAATCATAGTATATAAGTATCCTATCTTTATTTTCTTTAGTTTCATACATTATATTCAGTTTTCTTTTAATATTTGAACCCAAGAAGATTAACAAATGTAGTAAACTGACAAGGAAAACAACACTAGTTTCTTTAGAAACCTTTCTTTTCTGTTATACTGTAGCATAATAGCATTTTCAAAGAAATTTGTTGACTTTGCAAGAATAAATGAAAATTTTAAAATATAAAGAGTATATTTGAATTTGTATAAGAAGTTGTAATAGTATAACATAATAAACTTAGTATTTATTTTATTCTTCAGTGAAACCCAATCCACCCCATAATTTATCAGTCAGCAACTCAGAAGAACTGTCTAGTATCTTGAAATTGACATGGATCAATTCAAATATTAAGAATTTTATAAGGCTGAAATACAACATTCAATATAAGACCAAAGATTCCTCAACTTGGAGCCAGGTAAATTAAAAATTACTTTTTATTCAAATAGTCTTTTTTGAATACTTTAACCTAAAAGTCTCAATCATTTTCAGATTGTCTTATGCATCTGGTTATATGAAATATTTAGCTTGATATCTGTTGATCTGTATTTCAAGCAAGGGCAAACAGGGAGATTTCCAAATAAAAAATATAATTTGCTGCATATAGTCTCCTTTAAATGAAATAGAGAAGTGCTATAGAGTGTTAGAGACTAGCATTTTTCATCAGAAGTGAGGAACACAAATAATTAAGTGGAGAATAGAAATGAGAAGCTTATGTGTAAAGGTAGAGTAGGGTTTGGCAGTCTATGACTGCAGGCCAAATTCAGCTATGCCACCTGTTTCTGTAAATAAAGTTTTATTGGAAAATAACCACACTAATTTGTTTATATTGGCTTTGGCTATTTTTGTGCTAGAGTGGAAGAGTTGAATAGTTATAACAGAAACTATGTTGCCATACCTCAGGATATTTACTTTCTAGACCTTTATAGGAAATTTGCCAACACTTTTGTGGTAGAGCAAGAACTTGGTGGGCACTTGTATGACTGAAAAGGAAAAGGGCTATATACCCAAAGATGCTGTCAGCAGAGAAATATTTGGGATTTTTTAAAAAATAAAAAGGCTGTCACCATATACATATATACCATGGAATATTACTCAGCATTCAAAAAAGATAAACACATGCAATTTGCAGCAACATGGATGGCGCTGGAAGGGATCATACTCAGCGAAATAAGCCAGAAAGAAAAAGAAAAATACTGGATGGTCTCACTCATAGCAGGAATCTAGAAAACTTAAATAAGGGACCAGGAAAATGAATAACTATAAGAAAGTGAAAATCAAAATCAACAAAAAACTATGAAGCAGAGACACTTTTTGGGGGGTGGGGGGCAGGAGGGGAGGGATTGGGGTCAGAATGGGGGGGTTGCAATTGTATGGGGAATATAAAAATAAAATTTATTATTTAAAAAAAAAAACAGGCTGTCACCATAGTACTGAACTCCCCACACTGCTTTATGTTATATATAATTACTTTTGTTACTAGCAGTATGCTTTTGCTTTTTCTGGTTGTAATAATGAATTCATAAGGGAATTGAGGATCATGACCTTACTACTTCTGCCCTCTATTCAGACACTTACCTACAACTGAAAAAAGAAAGAAACCAAAATGGATCAGTGCTTCATGTTGAACAGAGAGAATACTTATTTGAAGTTCTTCAAAATATTTTTTTTACATAGAATCTTAATTTAGTGGTACAAAAAAAAACCTGACAACTATTTCATATCTAATATTGATCTCAGGGTAGGAGAAAGAGCTATTTAGGCTTCTCCTTTTTCTTTTTCTTTTTTTTTTTTAAAGATTTATTTATTTATTTATACAAGCACTGGGTACAGTCAAAAGCACGGGAGGGTGAGAGAATTCACCAGAGCCAGAGTGGGGAACAGAACAGGCAGACTGACGAAGTTCACTGCTGAGGGGAGCAGCGGGCGGCAGGAGAGGTCTGCGCGCCATGTGGGACCCTCGCCCGGCAGCCGGGGATCAAACCGGCAGTGCAGAGGCTGTGGGCAGCTTCGAAGCCCAGAGCTCAACCGCTGCACCACCGGGGAGGCCCCTCCTTTTTCTTAAAAAACACATTTTTTTCCCACAACTCCTATCTAGATCTATAACCTTCTCCACCCTGCTCTTTGTCTTGGAATGCTAACCTGTATGATTTTTATCTGGGTTCCTATTCCTTATAGTTTCTTAGTGAATTTAGTTAGAGGGAGGAGGGGGCCTGGCAGAAGAAACAAAAAGAAGGGAAGTAAGACCAACATGTGTACCCCCATCCCATTACCCTTTAGCATCCCCTTAAGCTAAGGCTTAAGGGTAACATTACAAGCCCCATAGTATTGACTGCAATATCCAAGGTTTTCTTACATTCTGCCCTATTCCCTTTACTAAAGTCATCTTAAATTCTGAGTGTGCCATCTTTTTCCTGCTAAAACCCTGAGTGTTACAGGTCCCAGAAAGAAAAATAAAAGGGAGGAAGAATGAGTTAATAGATGTTTTCATGCTCCCCAAATCTATTAAATATACTGATTTTGACTAGTTTTCGACTTGGATTTATTTCTCAGATTCCCTCTGAAGATACAACATCTACCCGATCTTCATTCACTGTCCAGGACCTTAAACCTTTTACAGAGTATGTCTTTAGGATTCGTTGTATGCAGGAAGATGGTAAAGGATTCTGGAGTGACTGGAGTGAAGAAGCAAGGGGCATCACATATGAAGACAGTAAGTAAATAAGTATATGAAGAAATAAAGCTGTTGGAATTCTAAATATGAACTGTCTGGTTTTAATAATATAGATCTTATTCTTTCTTATTTTGTGATCATTTTATTCAATACTTTGCACTTTTATCAAAGGTCATCAAAATGTAAAGTTTAATATGTATTATTGATAGTGTAAATCTATTTAATAACTAATTAAGAAAGTGATCATGAAGCAGTGTCTTAGATACTATGAGAAAACTTTTAACTTAATGGTTGAGAGGTCCAAAACAGTTTGTAAAAAGAAAATATTCCAGGGAGAGGCCTAACTTACAGTCATACTCTGAATCATTAATCAGTCACACTACCTAGCAAAATATATCTAGCCTCTCACTATCAAAAAAGATAGTTGTACTGTATTTTTTTTTTTAACAGTACTTGATAGTCCCCTGGAAAAGGATCCTGAAGTTTTGGATTGGTTGGTTGATTTTTCTTTTTTTCCCATGATACAAAGTATATAGTGTAGACTCCAAAAGGATCAAAGGACATACTCCCATTATTCCTCCCCAAACAAGTTACTAAATCTAAGTTGCTAATAACAGTAACTAAAGTTACTAAATTCTATTACCATGTAGAAATAATCATGGTTTTCTTTTTAAAGTTTTTCCTGTTGTAGTCACTCCCTTCAGGTCTCAGTGGCAGCAGCCATTGCTTTTAAACTTCTCTTCTCTTCCAGCTCCACTACTGATTTAGATAGGTATTGATTTGAGAATGTCAAAGGCAGAAAAGTTACCTCCACAAAGAATTTTCTCTCAACTCATAAATGCCAAGAAAGAAAATTAATCTATCACTGGTTCAGAGTTCTTAATCTGGGATTTTTGGGACTTTTAGTGGTATATGGGTCATTTGGGAGAAGTTCCTGAAATACTTCAAAATGTAGACAAAATATTCGACTTTGTGCCTGTGTGCATTTTCTGAGGAAATGGTACATAATTTTTGTCAAATCAAAGAGATCCCTGGAGTTTGGAAAGCTATGAACTATATCTTGGACTTAGCAGAGCAGGCAGACTGAAGTACACTGCTGAGGGGAGCAGCGGGTGGCAGGAGAGGTCTGCGCGTCATGTGGGGCCCTCACCCAGTGGCCAGGAATCGAACCGGCGCTGCAGAGGCTGCAGGCAGCTATGCAACCCAGCGCTCAGCCGCTGCGCCACCGGGGAGGCCCACATCATCACTTTTTTGACAACCCAATATGTTTTGCAGTTTATAAAAATTTGAAAAATCAGTTGATCCTAGAGGAAATTTTAAAACTTAGTAGCATTTGATGTTTTATAAAGTGCTTTTCATTGTCAGTGATTTTCACAATAATCCTGTGAATTTATTGCTACTATATCCTGTTACTCACAGAATAATTACTCCATTTATTTTGTTTTCTGACACACATTGGAGTTGTTTAAGCATGTATTTTAATGTGATTTTTCTTTTTTTAGCATAGGAAATAGTGATGCATTTTGTTTATTGTTTAGGATATATTTGTAGCTTTTAACAATATTAGAGATTAGAAGAATTCCAATATGATCTGTATCATGCTGACAACAGGAAGACCCAGGCATATCATGCCGGTATGATAAAATTCTGGTATAAAGAGTTTGATACATCTTGTGACTAAAAGACAAGAATATTAAGAACAAAGTAAGAATAATTTCTAGAATTTTATTTTACTGTTATAATAAAACTTCTGTTTTAAAACATTTGTCATTTCTTTAGGACCATCCAGAGCACCAAGTTTCTGGTATAAGATCCGTCCATCCCATGCTCATGGCTTTAGATCTGTACAACTTATATGGAAGGTAAAAAATGACATTCTTTTAGCTCATATAAATACGTTTTAGGTGATATTATAACTGGAGCTTTAACTTAAATTTTTATTCATCTGAATATTAGCAAAGCATTTAGTAGGTATTTTTAATAACTCTATGTACTGTGTAATCAGGCTTCGTAACTTTCGTGGGGGGGAGGGCTTATACTTTATTTGTCCAGTATATGTACTTTATTGAATTTTCCTGCGTGCCTCAGAGAAAACAATAAGGATTTTAGGTAATCAAAATATATGCAAATAATAGGAAATATAAACTTGTGTGCACTTCATATACATACATGAATATATTGTACTTAAATGAAAAATATTTAGGCTGAAAGAAGTAGTTAGGTCCACATAAGCCACAGTATAGAATTGTATATAGAAATAAAAGTTAACAGAATGATGCTACTTTCCCTCTTAGTTGATGTCATGCTTCATTCAATATGTAGTTTTCCTTAATGAGTTGAGAATGAGATTTGTCACTCCCTTCTGATTAAATATTTAGATATTTGACATAGCAAAATTTATGTATATAAACAAAAATGGATTAATTTTATTCAAGAATTATGAAATGTTTAAACTTTTTTACTACAGGCTTTGCCTCCTTTTGAAGCCAATGGAAAAATCTTGGATTATGAAGTGACTCTAACAAGATGGAAATCACGTTCACAAAATTACACAGTTAATGACACAAAACTGATAACAAACCTCACGAATGACCGCTATATAGCAACTCTGACAGCAAGAAATCTGGTTGGCAGATCAGATGCATCTATTTTAACTATCCCTGCCTATGACTTTCAAGGTTTGTGTCTGAGATGGAACCTGACTTATGGATAAAAAGAGGTGCTTAGATATTGACAGGACTTCCATAAAAACATAAGTCATAAGACTGTCTCTTCAATTCAGGGATGATCATATTTTAAAAAATCAGTCAGCAGTCAGACAATATGCTATATCATATATGGCTCATTTAAACTTTGCAGTAAGCTATTTAATTAATTTAAGGATTTTCTAATAATCTAGTTTTTAAAAATATTTTGAGGCTTGGGGGACATACACACACACACACGACTAAAATATATAGTTTTATAGCTACATTTATCTATCTGTAGTTTTATAGCTTCAAAGAAGAAAAATGCAATTTACATAACAAAAATTTGAAGAACTTTAGGAAAGGAAGGTTTTAAGTTTCAAAAATAGACTACCTTACATGTAAATTACAATGAAATAATTTTTTAATTCATGGAAATACATGTTAATTTTACAGAACATAAAATTTGATAGCAAGATAGATCACATGGTTATGGAAATGAAAATGTCAAAGTTTCAGATTTATAATGTTGATTTATCAAATTAGTATTCAAACTCTGTTTAAAGGTACTCGCCCTATAACGGATCTTAAAGCATTTCCCAAAGATAACATGCTTTGGGTTGAATGGACTGCTCCAAATGAATCTGTAAACAAATATATACTTGAATGGTGTGTATTATCGGATAAATCACCCTGTGTCCCAGACTGGCAACAAGAAGATGGTACCATACATCACACTTATTTAAGAGGTATACGTGAGTAGAAACAATGAAGTTGATATACCTTTGCTGACTCTTTGGACAAATACATCTTTAACTTTTCTGTGTGGCTATTGAAAAGACTTCTAGTCTTCATAGTTACTAGTTACTAGATGTGTGACTCTCAGCAAGTCATTCTTAACCTCTCTGAACCGTAGGGGGTGTTATTGACAGAGTAAAGTTAATATTTTTGTTCGGCAATGTTGCTTTGACCATCAAAAGGAAAGCTCACAGAGCTGGAAAAATAAGAGATTTTTTTATGTACTCTACCTGATTTGACCCCATCTGCTTTTAGTGAGAAAAGAATTTATACTAGATAACTAACTTCTTAAACAGCTATTAAATGGGGGAAGCAGATTTCCAAGAACTAGAACTCAGATTCCTTTATGTCTTTTAATGGAAGTACTAATGAAGGACAGAACATAATGATATTATACAGCCGCACGCACACTTATGTGTCCTTTTTTAGTGAGGAAAGATACCATTAAATACAGCTATGAATAATCAGATCAGAATCTAAGCAAAGGCATACCTACAATAAGGTTTGTGAGCTTTACTCATAAAACAGACTGTTTGGCCTTCACTAACCTATTTTTAATGTACAATTTCAATACACTTGGTTGTCTAGTTTGTCACCTTTAATAAATTTAAAAGCAGGGTGGGACTAAAGAGGAGACAGATTGGTAAGAACTTTTTTTAAGTTCTTGAAAACTTAAAAAGCATAGCCTCGGCTCAGGAGACCTTGAGACCTCAGGGCAGGTAGCCTGATACTACCACTACGTTGCAGCAGAATATAAATATTATTTTACCTTTTTGATAATACTGAGTCATCAAGGAAAGATAAAATTACTGTTTAAGAGGCAAAGGAACATGTAACTTCAGAAGATATAAATTATAGACAGTATAAACTTCAGTGTAACAGATACCTCATTTTCTGCTATGAACAGATAAAATGCTGTCAAAAAAGGAAAATTTTCACTGTTGCATGCACAGAATAGATTGCTTTGTTAATTTTGAGATAATATTCAAGATAATTTTTTTTTTCTAAAATTGTTTTACATTCTGAGGGAAATACACTAATTCTGTTTTTTCCCAGTCACCTAACTAACCAGGGCCATCACTGCTTTCTCTAGATCTTGCTCACTAGGCAGCTCTGAGAATTAGTTTAGATGTACACAAATTGTCAAACTATAGTAAGGCTCTGTTTTATAAAACCTGAATATAAATGCAATCATTAATTGTAGTGGCAATTTTATTGCCACTTTATTGGCAATAAAAGTAACCTTTTACTTTCATGAATACTTTCTAATAAGTTTGACTGGTATACAACAGGCAATGCTTACTTAAAAGGGAAAGTTTACTGGTTGTGGAATATTACAATGTAAAAATAATGGAATTAATAGGGGGGAAAATGCTAATCTACTGTGGAATTAATAGGGGAAAAAAAAAACCCTAATCTACTGTTCTTTATTTAGGGAACCTAGTAGAGAGCAAGCGTTATTTGATAACAGTTATTCCAGTGTATGCTGATGGGCCGGGAAGCCCTGAGTCTATAAAGGCATACCTTAAACAAGCACGTAAGTCCAAACTCATTTTCTTTGAAAAATGTTCATTTTTGTATTAACCAGGACATTTCATCCTTTGAAATAAGGATATGTCTCATGTTCAAATCATTTCATGATAGGAAATTTTATTAAATTCTAATGATTATCAGTTAATGAATACCTTTATTCTGTTCTAGCACCTTCCAAAGGACCTACTGTTCGGACAAAAAAAGTGGGGAAAAATGAAGCTGTCTTAGAGTGGGATCAACTTCCTGTTGATGTTCAGAATGGATTTATTAGAAATTACACTATATTTTATAGAACCATCGTTGGAAATGAAACTGGTAATACAAACTATCGGTTATTAGAAATCAAGTGTCTTTTTCTTAAGCTTTTAAGTATTAATTTAATTCTTCTTACATTATACATCTTAATATAGTATAGTATTGTCAGAAAAGACATAACTAAGAATATGCCGTATGATTATTTTCATGGTTCTGTTAAAATTGTGTTCATAGCAGAATATTATATAAACATTTAAGGAAGTTGTTTCCTGGTAAAATATATTTTTGCTACCTTTGAATGTTTTCACTATGTCAAATAATAGGCTTACTGAAGCAAAAACATTGAGTAGTTGAATAAAGCACACTTACTAATTTCTTCCAGCTGTGAATGTGGATTCTTCCCACACAGAATATACACTTTCCTCTTTGACTAGTGACACTTTGTACATGGTACGAATGGCAGCATACACAGATGAAGGTGGAAAGGATGGTCCAGAATTCACTTTTACTACACCCAAGTTTGGTAAGAAATAAGATGTTTGATCATTTTTGTTTTTAAAATTTAAGCATACTAAAAGTGGACTTTGTTTATATGCTGAAATTGGTTAAAAGTGTGTCTTTGGATTCATATAAATGAAGTGTTCATAAATTCTGATTTTTACATTGTAAAATTCAGATGTAAAATTAAATATTGATAGTGTAAATCTGTTTAATACCTAATTAAAGAAATGATCATGGAGTGGTCTTAGATACCATAAGAAAACGTTTGACTTGATGGTTGATAGGTCCAGAACAGTTTATTAAGAGAATATTCCAGAGATGTGTCTAACTAGAGAATCATACCCTTAATCATTAAAATCACACTGCCTAGGGCCTCCCCGGTGGCACAGCAGGTTGAGCACAGCTCTGTGAAGCTGTCCACAGCCTCTGCAGCGTGGGTGAGTTCGATTCCCGGCTGGCCAGGGAGATACCCACATGGCACGGCAGACCTGCCTCGCCTGCTGCTCCCCTCAGCAGTATATTTCAGTCCGTCTGCCTGTTCTCTTCCCTGTTCTGTCTCTGGTGAATTCTCTCACCCTCCCATACCTCTGGCCTGTACCCCAGTTCTTGAATAAATAAATCTTTAAAAAAGCACACTGCCTAGTAAAATATACCTTAGTCTCTTACTATCAAAAAGATATTTATACTGTTTTTTTCCTAATAGCACTTGATAAACCCCATGAGAAATGATGTTTATTTGGTTGATATTGTCCAGTCCCATCTTTGTTGTTTTATTAACTTTTCCTGATTTCACCTATAATCTAAATTCCAAGAGTTTGTATCTGTCTAAACATGTTAATTTTTTCACTGGCAAAGCTTAGGTGTGGTCAATATGAAGAGCCATTTGAACCATGTAGATAGTACTGTAAGAATTTAAATCTATTTGACTGGGAGATGGGGAGGTGTTGTACCTTCAAATAATATTTTGTGGAGGAAGCAATACTTGAACCTTGAAGTTAGGCTGTGGACAGATAGGAAGAAGAGCTGCTGAGCAAAGGCCCAACAATAAAATGAAGCATAAAACTACAGCAGCAATAAAGGAAAAGTTCTGTCCAAATTTGATCTGGCATATGAGATCTTGAGCATTCAGTAGTTAATATTTGCCAATCTTTAGTTTATACCTGAGCATTGATTTGATTTCTTGATTTTTATTAGATTTTATGTGAGGGTAGAGTTATATACACAGGGATGTATAGAGTGGAGATATGTGTCTACAAGGAATATGACTACAGTATTACTTTCTTACATCTTTCCTATGAAAGACTAATTAATTAAAGGGAGACTAGAGGAAGTAACAGACACTCTAAGGTAAATCGTTAAAAATATTTCCATTATAGGAAAGGGGGGAATCCTATACTTCCAAAATACAAACAATATTGAAAACCATCATTACTACAATTAAAACAAAAAACTTTGAACAAAAAAGGAAAATAGCTCCATTAGCCCCCTTAAATACAGATAGGATTTTTGTTGCATTGTAAATGATACGGCTTCTTTGCCACTCTTGTACCAACTAAGATTCTTGTAAAATTTCTAACCCTCTCTATCATATATATCATCTGTTTGAAATTAGTAAAAACTCAAAAATTTTGCCTGAGGGTTTCATTTTTATTTGAAGTTTATTTTTTTTAAAAGATTTATTTTTTATTTATGCAATAGCTGGGGTACAGGCCAGAGGCGTGGGTGAGAGGATTCACCAGAGACAGAACAGGGAAGAGAACAGGCAGACGGACTGAAATACACTGCTGAGGGGAGCAGTGGGTGAGACAGGAGAGGTCTGCCGTGCCATGTGGGAATCTCCCTGGCTGGCCAGAAATCGAACCCACGCTGCGGAGGCTGTGGACAGCTTCACAGCACTGTGCTCAACCCACCGCACCACCAGGGAGGCCCTATTTGTAGAAGTGTAAATTTGTACTTGAATTATTAAAATTATTTTGCAGCTTTACCAATTGTACTCACTACTTATATTTGTTTTGATATATTTTGCTAAGATTGCTGAGTGAAGAACATAAATGCAATAAATGGTTGAAAACTCTTAACTTACCAGATAAGCTATGTATGTAATAAACTGAAATACAGTTTATTCCTCCAACCAACATATATTTTATGCTTACTGTGTGGCCAGTTTGCTGTAGGCATAAGTGTCTAGGATATGATTTACCAAGAAGAGAGGGGGGAAAAGTTTCAATTTAAAAAGACTGTAAAAAGCTGATAGTATTATACCTTTTCAACTGTAATCTGGGGTGGAAGGTTGCATTGTTATCTCTTTAGCATATTTGTCAACATCATTTTCAGTCTTGCTCCTTTCTGTTTTTTAGCTCAAGGAGAAATTGAAGCCATAGTAGTGCCTGTTTGCTTAGCTTTCCTATTGATCACCCTGTTGGGAGTATTGTTCTGCTTTAATAAGCGAGACCTGTAAGTACCTTTATTCATGTTTTTGGTTCCCCACCCCCTGCCACATCTAGTGTTATTGAGTTATTTAACTTTATAAGATGTTATAGGCTATATAACATATAAAATTTATACCAGCTTCGCAAGTTGTATAAAAAACTACCAAATTGTTTTTCAAAGTGGCTATACTATCTTGTATTCTCACCAGTAATGTGAGTTCCATTTGTTCCGTATCACCATCACGTAGTAATGTTAGGTTTTAGTCGTTCTTTCTTACACAGTATCCAGAAAATGGATTTTCTGTGTTTCATTGCCACTTATATAACTGTTTTGATGTGTCTGTTGAAATCTTTTAGCCAGTTTTGAATTGTCTTGTTACTATTGAACCATAAAGGTTCTTATATTCTGGTTATGTTTGTTAAATATGTTTTACTAATTTGTGACTTGCCTTTTGTTTTCTTAACCATGATTTAAAAAAGCAAAATTTTTTTAAATGGTGAAGTCCATTTTATTTTTTTCTTAATGGCCCCTGCATTCTGTTTATGAAAACTTTGTCTAATTTAGTGTCACAAATATTCTGTCTCATGTTTCCGTCAGTGTTTTTTTGTTTTTGTTTTTTTTTTCCTTTTGCTTGTGAGTGATTGCAAATTTTTGTGCATGGTGTGAGGTCAGGAACAAAGTTCAATCCCCCATAATATCTAATCATTCCAGCATCATTTGTTGAAAAAATGTTCCCATAGAACTTCCTGGATATCTTTGCTGAAATTGGTTTCCATATAAGTCTAGATCTATTTGTAGATTCTCAGTTCTATTCCATTGATTTATATGTTTACTAATGTCATTACTACATTGTCTTATTACAGCTCTTTAGTAAGTTTGGAGAGCAGGTAGAATTCTTCCAGTATGTTCTTTTTCAGGATTATTTTGGCTAGCTTCTTTGCTTACCAATTTTATATTTACAAAAGACCTTTTAGAATTTTGATTGGGATTTTACTGAATCTATAGATCAATTTAGGGAGAAGTATAGTCTGAACAATAGTTTAAGGGTCATGAATCTTTCAGTCCGTGAATATAACATAGCTTATACTTCTGAGTTTTAGTTTATAATTTTTTTGGTAGCTTTCAGTTGGATAGGTCTTAACACATCTAAGTTTTTTATACTATTACAAATGGAATTCTTAAAGAGTTCTATTTTCTAATCATGGCTAGTATATAGAATTGTTGATTTTTTTAAATGTATTTACCTTAGAGATTGAACCCTTAATTTACTAGCCTTTTGGACATCTTGGGATTTTCTATGTGCATAATAATCATGCTGCATGCAAATAAAGAGGGTTATTCTAATATTTATGCTTTCAGTTTTTTTCCTGTTCTGCTAAGACTTGTACAGTATTGCGTAGAAAATGTAAGCTCTGGGCTTCCCCAGTGGTGCAGTGGGGTGAGCACAGCTCTGTGACGCTGTCTGCAGCCTCTGCAGCACCGGTTCAATTCCCGGATGGCCAGGGAGATTTCCACATGGTGAGGCAGACCTCTCCTGCCTCATCCACTGCTCCCCTCAGCATTGTACTTTGGTCCTTCTGCCTGTTCTGCTCCTTGCTCTGTCTCTGGTGAATTCTCTCACCCTCCCGCACCTCTGGCCTGTACCCCAGTGCTTATATAAATAAATAAAATCTTTTTTAAAAAAAAAAAAAGAAAGAAAATGTAAGCTCTGACATCTTCCCGTCGTTCCTAATGGGATTTTACTTTTAAAAGTGAAAGTATTTAATCTTTCACCATTGCATGTGGATGTTAACTGTTAGTTGACAAAGTTCTTATTTCTATTTTCTGAGAGGTTGTCACAAGTGTGTATTTAATTGTGTCAGATACTTTGCATCTATTGAGACTTTTCTCCTTCCATGAATGTGGAAGGAAATTTTGATTTTCAGATATTAAGCCATCCTGTATTCATAATTTTTGCGTCTATTCATGAATTACATTGATTTGTCCCTTTTTGTGGTGTCTAGATCTAGTTTTAGAGTTGGTTTAATACTAACCTCATAAAATAAGATTTTACAAGGTTACCTTTATTTTCTGGAAATGCTTGTTTAGAAATAGAATTTTCTTTGACAGAATTCACAAATGAAACCAACTGGGCCTGATACATACTTTGTGGGAAGATTTCTAATTCTAAATTGAGGTTTTCTTCAGTAATATGTATCTTTCAAGGAATTCATTGTTTTTATATTTATGTCCCGGTTTTATAATTGTTCCCAAGTTTGTCTGGTAGGCTCTCATATACCTCTCTAACTTTGGGCTATGTTAAGGTGAACTTTTTTTAAGATAAACATACTGAAATAGGTTTTTGACAGGCTAAAATTAAAAACACCTCATTCAAGATATCCTTTGTTCCTTGTCAAATACATATTTTATTTGGTAACAATGTGAAAATTTGTTAGCTGGACTCCTATTTGTTGAGAGGTAGTGTATTACATTTTGTGACCTGGCTAAAATTTTAACATGGTTTTATTGCAGGATTTAATTTCAGAGATGTTTTTAATTGAATACTGATTGACTAGATTAAGATGCCTATGCAGTTTTAACCATATTTTTCTATTGGTTACAAGAAAATATATTTTGGGGCATGGCAGGTATATTTTGTTTAAATTGGTTTGATTCTTTGGATAGTGTTTATAAATAGGGACTGTATTTGCTGTTTATTACATATGTAGTTCCACATATGCCATATTTATTTTCTCTGCAGAATTAAAAAACACATATGGCCCAATGTTCCAGATCCTTCAAAGAGTCATATTGCCCAGTGGTCTCCTCACACACCTCCAAGGGTAAGATGAAATGCTTCGAGTTTATACTATAACCCAGGCATGTTAGGATACATTTATATAACCCAGGCATATTAAGATACATTTGTATAATTTGACCAAAAGATATAATAGAGAATATTGAAAGATATTTTTCTGTTTATCAAACATAAAATAATATGGTATGTGATAGCTGTCATAAGGCAACTAAAATGATTTCTGGAAACCTATATTAAATTCCTTGAGTTTTATATTAACAGATTAAAATGTTATATTGTATAATACCTCAGTCCGAGGCTTATTTTCATTTTCTACCCAGTTAATCCTAAGCAGCGCAATCTAGACATGAAATATGAGAATATAAAACTGGGATTCTGACAATTTCAGTGTTAGTGCTTTAGTGATACAGATTATCTGAGAAGTTTCAGATATATTAGCTCTGTTAGTTCTGTAACTGCAATATTTGTGTGCTGTGTATATGTAAAATATTTTACACATACATAGGAGTTTCTAAGTGAATGTTTGCTATATGTAATAAGCCATTTTCTTTCTCTCGCAGCATAATTTTAATTCAAAAGATCAGATGTATTCAGAAGGCAATTTCACCGATGTAAGTGTTGTAGAAATAGAAGCAAATGCCAAAAAGCCTTTTCCTGAAGATTTGAAATCATTGGACCCATTCAAGAAAGAAAAAATTAGTACTGAAGGGCACAGCAGCGGTATTGGAGGGTCTTCGTGTATGTCATCCTCTAGGCCAAGCATTTCTAGCAGTGATGAAAATGAATCTGCACAAAACACTGCTAGCACTGTCCAGTATTCCACTGTTGTACATAGTGGCTACAGACACCAGGTTCCATCTGTCCAGGTTTTCTCAAGATCTGAGTCCACCCAGCCCTTGTTAGATTCCGAGGAGCGGCCAGAAGATCTACAATTAGTAGATAGTGCAGATGGTGAAAGCATTTTGCCCAGGCAACAGTATTTCAAACAAAATTGCGGTCAACATGAAACCAGTCCAGATATTTCACATTTTGAAAGATCAAAGCAAGTTTCATCTGTCAATGAGGAAGATTTTGTTAGACTTAAACAGCAGCAGATTTCAGATCATATTTCACAGTCCTGTGGATCTGCACAGATGAAAATGTTTCCAGAAGTTTCTGCCGCAGATGCTTTTGGTCCAGCTACTGAGGGACAAGTAGAGAGTTTTGAAACAGTTGGGACAGAGGCTGCAATTGATGAAGGAATGCCTAAAAGTTACTTACCACAGACTGTAAGACGAGGTGGCTACATGCCTCAATAAAAGACTAGTTCCTGTTAGAACTTCAGCAGTACCTGGAAAATTAAAAAAAAAAAATCTGCAATTTCAGATAAAAATCTTCATTAACTGAAGATGGTCATTTGCCCTTACAGACAAAAATGTACTGAACTCTCACTTGGGCTATTTCCATTCCAGGATATCTGGGAGTGTAAACACTACATAAACTGACTTCATTCTCTGAATAGCTGATTGATTGACTTTGTGCTGTTTCAGAATGTTTGCACTGAAGAAAAAGTTTGTTTTGCTATCTGGAAAACAGAGGGTATTTAAATATGCGGTGATAATCTTGGTGAAAACAGTCGTCAAATAAAGCAGCTTAGGAAGAATATAAAAAATTAGAGGAGCAAGGTCTAGGCCCTGTACTTCAGCCAACACCAGAGGTCCAGTGGGCATGTAAGTCCTACTTTTTTTGTCTGACTAAAAAATGGGCTCATTTATGGTCATACCGATATATAAAATACAGTTCTCTTCCAATGGTAAATAATGCTGCCAGTTACTAAAAAAAAGGAATTCTAGAGTTTTAACTTAAATTGAAAATACTCATTTTTAGAAATAACCTCTCTGAAGATCCATTTCACAAACTCAACAGAGTACCCAGGTAAGAGCTGGGACTCAGTACCACAAACTATCCTAAGCATTGTTTAAATTTTTTGCCACATAGGCAATTTCATTAAGATTTATATACATAAACATTTTTTTAAGATTTCAGAGAACTTGGTTGATGAAGCACTTTATACATTATGCCTTTAGCTTAAATGTGTTCTAATGTGATAAGCCTTGTTATTTTAAGTAGGGCAATACTCACCAAAACCAGTATACTATGTCCCCCAAAATATAAATGTTAAAAAAAAAAAAAAAAAAAAAAAGCAAATACTTAATGTAGAGGCACTTAACGAAGTGATTATATTTTAATATCTGCCAGTTGTAGGTAAAACTTAGATCTGAACATTATTTGGGAATATTTTAAACCTCTGTCCACTAGCTCCTCTGCCCACTAGTGCTAAATCTACTTTTGCATTTATGCTATCACCTGCCAACCACATTTGATGTGGAGGTAAAGCTAAGATAGGAGCTGAGTAAGAAGATATTGTCATAAATCATTAGTGGTTGGTTGACTATTAGTGAGTTTTTCTGTCATTTGTTATAGAAACCAGGCTGAATTAAAAAGTTGCAGTTATTGAAGACCAAAATTCATACTTTTATAATCACATTAGACTTCCTCATACATTATTTTAGTATTCTTGCATTTATATAATGCCTTGTACCTTCCTGAGCTCCTTTATATATATGGTTTTTGTGAGGCAGAGTAGATGCTTTATTCTGATATATCCAGTTATTTAAGGTAGAACCAACATGAGATAAGATGAAAGAATTAAAAGTAAATGAAGAAAATCAGACACAGAGGTCAAGTAGAGGGAGAGATACTCAAACTTACACTACAAGATAATGGCACCACCACCGCCATTCAAGTTGGTCCAAGTCAGGACTAGATTTTTCTTGCTGTGTGTCAAGAAATTTATAGCTCTCTATTCCTTTCCTCAAAATACATAGATCATGTTTTTATTGTAATCTCATTTAGCTGTAATCTTTCTCCTAACAAATAACAGTTTTGTGAAGAGCATTCTAGTGCAAGGTTTGTACAGGGGGGTAGAAGGAACAGTTATAAAATGTGAACTTACAATTTAAGAGGAGAAGTCTTTTTTATTTTATACTTAAAGAACAGTTTTATTGGGGAAAGGGACAGGATTTGTTAAGAGAGGCCTGCATGGTTGCAGGCGGGCAGCCTTGAGGAGAGCGGCCTCCGCTGAGGGAGGTCAGTGAAGAGCAGTCCCAGCAGGTACAGGTCATGGGCAGGCAAGAGGCTGCTGCCCTGCAGAGGAGAGTTGGTGGCGAAAGAAGCACCTGTATAGGCACAGGTGGGCAGAAGGGAGTGCTCCAGAAGAGTCATTTTTATAAAAGACATGTAAACAACTTTTTAGGTTGAAATTTGTAATAGAAAATGGTAGAATGAGTGAATGTTCTCCCCCCCCCCCAAGCACTTTAGACATTAAGTAGATAAGGTTACTGTGTTACTCTGCAAAATTCCATTCACAAAGTAAATATGCATTTGATCAGTAATACAAATCTTTGCCCGAAAAGAGAAAAGCAATCTTTGAAACTTAAGTACAAAATTACTTTCCTAAGGCATGTCTTAGAATGTTTTGATGCATGGAATGGTTTATTTATTTATGTGAGAATTAGTCCATATATAAATAGATTGAGCCTTATAAAGTAATGCTAGTTCTTTTGTGGATAAAAGCAATCACTGCTCACAACAAAAAGTATGTCATCTTTATTGTGCAAAGGGCCTCTGACAAATATCTGTCCTGGTATCAAACTCTGCGGGAGGGGGGGGTGTCTATTGCTGTATCCTCCTCATCAGGGTGATCTAGCATCAGCATCTCCACCTCAGGGGAGGTGGGAGAGGGAGGGTGGGGAAGGGGAGAGGGAGGGTGGGGAAGGGGAGAGGGGTGGGGAAGGGGAGGGAAGGAGGGTAGACAAGTACACCTTTAGGTGGCACTAGCGGGCAAGGCAGAGGCGCCCGCCGCCCTGTGTATGGGTTATCTCCCTAAACCGGGGATTGAACTCAGGCCACTGTGGCTGGCAGCGCTGAGCCTTAACCCCTAGGCCACAAGGGAGGCCCTTCCACAGTTGTGTTTTTAACCAGGTTTAAGGTATTTGAGAACTTACAACCCAGAAGCAGCTGGCTCGAGTGAGCCAACATTTTCAAACAGTTGTGCTTTTGCTGCCACACTGAAAAGTAAGTTTTAAATGCAACTTTAAATCAGTAAAATCCACTCAAAGTGAAATTCGGTGTTACCAGTTAAACACAGCGAAGGTGATGAGTTAAACTGTCCCCAGAATGTGACCTGAATTTTGCTTTAGCTCTTGTTCTAGCTTCCCAACACACGCCCACTGCTCTCTGGGGAGCTTGCTGGCCTCTGTCAGTCTCAGAAAACTGGGAATAGCTGGTCCTAAGGGGCCTTCTCTTACCCCCTCTGCTCCCAGAGGCAGTGACATTCCTGGTGCTGTGGAGCCCAAAGAATTGCTGTTCATTCCAGTAAACAAAGGTGATTCTAAAAATGAAAAAATGAAGTAGAACATGTAAGATAGCTTTACAAATAGAAAAAATTTTGTCTTTACTCACCTGGTTCAAATCATGACAAAAATATAGAATTACATAGATTCCCTAAGATATTATTGACCAAGTCAAGCAAGAGGGCTCCTCTATTCTGTGAAATCCACATAATTCTCTTTCTGTTTTCAAGAACTTCCTAAACCATGTCTTTCATATTTTAATAGTTTTGTTGAAATGGGTAAAATGTCAAAATAAGCTATATTTTTTTAAGTTTTTTTAATTTGGGGATAGATTTAGTTCATCATGTTAGCTATGTGTTGCCCATGTGAGGTTATGCTAAATTTTTGCACTTTTTTGTAAATTGAGACTATGGAGCCAAGTTATTTAAGTTTAGCCTAAAATTGGGCATTATCGTAGGTCTCAAAAGCAATTAAAACTAGTAAACTTACCACCTAATTCTTCTTTAATCTGGTCCTTGACAGCAGTTTTCAGGTCCTTTTCAGGCTATAAACAGACTTTTGTTCCAGTTTGTATCTCCTTTCATCATACATGCTAGGAGTATGTGCATTAAGCATGATATTCTAGTAAACATTGCATTAAAAATAAAAAGGCAGCTCAGGATGAGCTCTTCTGTTAGTCACTTGTTCCTGAATTTTTAAGGGCATTTTGTAGTCAGAAGTTCCTTCAAAGTAATTAAAGAACTGGGTAATGAAGTTAAACTAAAGTTGATAGATGATAAAAATGCATTTAAGGCCTATGTTGATTGATGTTCTAGATCTTTTATCCCTATAACACAAGCTTTGTCTGATTAATTAGGTACCTCAAATGCTGTTAACATGATTAGCAAAAGGTGATGTCAGAAATAAAGGGATATTTTAAAGGTGGCTATTTGAATATTCTTCAGTCTTAATGTATATGTATTTTGAACAATATACTCTAAGAATAAATTGCTATTTGTGAGTGCTACAATATAGTCCTTAGCATTAGGTATGTTTCCCTGTTGTGCCCTAGCTATGTCCCATTTACTTGTACCTGCACCCTTCAAGTTCTCTAGTGTTTTACCCCACCAAATCTAACTTTATAGAAGGCTTATATAGAGTATTGTATGTATTTTTACCTTTGCAGTGAATTGCAGTGAATGTGCTAATGGTAACCACAGCTTTTTTTTAATGTTGACATAACTAAATGTTCTTATATATCACTCTAATCCTTTAAGTAAATTTAAGAAATAAATTCTTGTTCAAATTTTTTCTGCGTGTGGACACTACCACTTCATATCATGACATGTAATATTTGAGGTAACAGTATTTTTCACTAATTAGATTGGTCTTAGTGTAAACTAGAGACTTTGAGGATCCTGTGTATTTTCAAATGCTCATATAGCAAAATAGGATTTAGGAAAAAATCGGTACCTTGGCCTTAATAGCAATAACTTGAAGATCGCAAATTTACTTACCAGATTTATCAAGATAAGTTCTGAAATACCAGCATCCTACCTCAGTTAATTTTTTTCTTACTTGGTTGCCAGAGGAATCAACAAGAACAGAGACACTGTGCCATCTTGTGGCCTATCGTTGCCCATTGTCCACACATCTGAAATTCTTGTCTGTCACAGTGAGGCAGGGAGCCAGTTACTAGAAAGCATCCCATTGCTCCCCCTTGAAGTTGCAAAGTGTATGAAAGTTAATTTTGTTAACAGTTCTTCCTGGAAGAAAATCTGAACTGTTAGATTTCCATGTTTTCACATTGTGACTTATATGCTCAAGAAAAAATCCACAAGCCAGATAAGTAAATTTCTTTACTTCGCATATATTCAAATGGTTATACAAATCCTATCTTGGCTCAGCAGCAAGTGTTCTTTATTTGCCTATAACTCTTACAGGCTCAGCCTGAGTTCTTTGTGGTGTCTCTTTATTATTCATTTTATTGATTCAACCCTTCCTGCGTCCAAGCATTGCAGAAGTTCCTCAGTGTTTCATTTAAATTTTGATTTAAGCATTTTGAAGTAGTACAAAACATTCCTTCCACACTTTCAAAATAAAATTAAACAGTACAAACTGTTTCATTACATATTTAAGTTTGATGCTTTGGCTAGTTAGTAAGCAGAAGTGAGGGAGAAAAATGACTAAGCAGAGCGTGTAGGGAAGCAGAGAGCGTAGACAACCAAGTAAAGGAAGTAGCACACATCGCTGTTGCTGCTCAATTAGGTCGGCTCTTGACCAACCTGGAAAAATCTTGGCAAGGGTCCTTGGCTTCTCAACAGCTTAAAACCAGTTCTCTCTCCACTGCAACACTTACTTTTTTTTTTTTTAAAGATTTATTTATTTATTTATTTATTTATTTATTTATTTATATAAGCACTGGGTACAGTCAGAAGCGCGGGAGGGTGAGAGAATTCACCAGAGTCAGAGCGGGGAGCAGAGCAGGCTGAAGGACCGAAGTACACTGCTGAGGGGAGCAGCGGGAGGCAGGAGAGGTCTACGCGCCATGTGGGACCCTCCTCTGGTGGCCGGGGAGCAGCCAGGGATCGAACTGGTGCTGCAGAGGCTGCAGGCAGTTTCGCAACCCAGCGCTCAACCGCTGAGCCACCGGGGAGGCCCTGCAACACTTACTTTTATTTTTATTTTTATTTTTATTTTTAAGATTTTTATTTATTTATTTATTTATTTGTTTATACAAACACTGGGTACAGTCAGAAGTGCGGGAGGGTGAGAGGATTCACCAGAGTCAGAGCGGGGAGCAGAGCAGGCAGAAGGACCGAAGTACACTGCTGAGGGGAGCAGCGGGCGGCAGGAGAGGTCTGCGCGCCATGTGGGACCCTACTCCGGTGGCCGGGGAGCAGCCGGGGATCGAACCGGCGCTGCAGAGGCTGCAGTCAGCTTCGCAACCCAGCGCTCAACCTCTGTGCCACCGGGGAGGCCCAACACTTACTTTTAAATTATAGTTCTCCCCTGCCCACATCTATCAATAGTAAAGGTTTCAGAGATGTGACAGCTGTGAAGATTGCTTAGTTTTAGAAATCAGAACATTCAAAACCTGATTCTCCAAGTTAATAACATGCCACAGAATATAAACCACTGAAGTAGAAGAAATAATTTTAAGTTTGTAGACCTTAGCATTTCACAAGTTCTTTGAAACAGTACAAAAGTAGCAGGTGCAAATATTTAAAAGTAACAGCACTTAATAGTGAAAATTGGACTTTCAAAGTTTAGACTCTTCCACCTTTGAGGCCATTACTCCCAATGTTGCTGGTCTTTCTGATAAAAAGCTTGTTCTGCTTTGGATCCATCTTACCCCCTCATTTCAAATGAGAGACGAAATAAACAGCTTTTTACATTTCTTAAACAAAACTTCAGGTCCTCCCTGGTGGCGCAGGCGGTTGAGCATCGCGCTGTGAAGCTGTGCGCAGCCTCTGCAGCGCGGGTTGGATGACGGCCGGCCTGGGAGAAACCCACATGGCGCGGTAAACCTTTCCTGTCTCGCCCGCTGCTCCCCTCAGCAGTGTGTTTCATCAGTCTGCCTGTTCTGCTCCCCACTCTGTCTCTGGTTGAGCCCTCTAACCCTCCCGCGCATCTGGCCTGTGCCCCGCTTCTTGTGTAAATAATTTTTTTTTTAAAATCTTTTTTTTAAATACTTTATATAGGGCCTCCCCGGTGGCGCAGTGGTTGAGCGCTGGGTTGCGAAGCTGCCCGTGGCCTCTGCAGGGCCAGTTCGATCCCCGGCTGCTCCCCGGCCACCGGAGGAGGGTCCCGCATGGCGCGCAGACCTCTCCTGCCGCCCGCTGCTCCCCTCAGCAGTGTACTTCGGTCCTTCTGCCTGCTCTGCTCCCTGCTCTGGCTCTGGTGAATTCGCTCACCCTCCCGCGCTTCTAACTGTACCTAGTGCTTGCATAAATAAACAAAAAACAAACAAATAAATAAATAAAAATGCATGCCTCTTTAAAAAATAAATAAAATATTTTATATAATTCTTACATCATTTTTCATTTTTGCACAATGTATGCATTTTCATTTTGGTTATATTCCCCATATAATTGCACCCCCCTCCCTTATTTTGACCCTAGTCCTTCCTCTTCCTGCCTCCCCCCCCCCCACATAGTGTGTCTCTGGTTTATCATTGCTTGTTGATTTTGATCTTTACTTTGTATTAGTCAAAAAAAAAAAATTTTTTTTTTAAAGCCTCTGATGCTGCCTCTGTCTTACTGGTCCCAGCCCCAGCAGGCTCAGTCAGGAAGGCAGAGGAGGAAGCAACTCACAGACAGGGCCCTGCTTCCTGCCCCGAACCTGATTCTTTTACATTTATTTCTGTGACTAACGTCATTTTTTGCATCTCATTTATGTCAGAAA